GATTATGATTAGATTTATAATTTATAGAAGATTGTGTAATATATTATCAAATTTTTTATTAAACTAAGGTGATTATAAAGTAGTATTTGTTATAAATACTCTTAATCATTTGACAATGAAAGTTCAATCACCATGATACAATCGCTAGTGCTCAAACTCGTGGCCTCTAGGAAGAGCAATGATTCATTTAATCACTTAGGTAAGTTGGTTCGTGCATTATATTATTAATTAATAAGTGATAAGAAATATTTTTAATAGTTTGACATGATTACAAGATAATATGTGTTCATAATATTTCTTAATCGTTAACGGCGCACGTACATTCTGCTTCGAACTTAAAATCTCAAAATAAAATAATATTTTTTAATCATTAAAATTATTTAATGGATTGAAACGATAATAAATCTCAATAGTCTAAAGATGGTATAAAAAATATACCACCTATTTTATGCAGAAATATTGGCAAACTAATATTGTAGTCTCCCTAAAGAATTTATGTCTAACCTTTCAACTTAATATTATTGAAAAATATGTATGAACCAATTAGATTCCGTAATAAAAGAATTGTTGTTATATTTGAGGATTCATGTTCGAGTACTATAGATGTTAGAGGTGTAAGCGTTTAATATTAAAAGATTGAGAGTTATCTTCGAACAAATATTTTCTTGTACTTACCTAGATTATTGAAAAAAATTGTTGAGAAATATAACCGCAAACTTGAATATAAACAAGAAAAGAATTTAATTATCTAAGTATTGCTCTCAAAATCAAGGGAAACGGTCATTGATCAGGTTCATTCCCAATTCAATCGTTAAAAATGATGTACATAATATATTTTATAGTAAACTATCAGTTTTGGTCTGTTTTAGTATCTAATTTTGTAATATTTTTTTTAAATCATACCTAATGTTTAGTTTTCATTTCATTTTAGTACCCCGCCGTTAAAAGCTTAACGCGTTTAATACATAAACTATCAGTTTTAGTCCATTTTGGTGCCTAAACTTTCAATTTTTTCAAAACTTAACGTTAAATTTTGAATTAGAGTACTAAAATGAAACACATACTAAAGTTTTTAACGACGGTGTACTAAAATGAAACAAAAACTAAACTTTAAGTATGATTTTAAAAAATTTAAAATTTTAAGTATTAAAATAGATCAAAACTAATAGTTTATATATTAAACGAGTAATCTATCTTATATTTTAAATATATATGAAGTGAATAAGCAATGCGAAAGATAATTTGGAAAAAAATCATTGGGCCCTCTAAACCCCAGCATTGCCAGCTTGAGAAACTAAAAGACAATCATACCATACAATTACAAGTGTAAACTTGGTCTTAATCTAATTAAGATAAATCAATCGTTTTCATTACTATACCCTCGAGGCCGACTTTACATTTTTTTTCTATTTGTTTATTTTTTAATCACTGATATTTAATTTATAGGATAAACGACGTATTTAGTATCTAAATTATTAGTTTTGATCCGTTTTAGTATCTAAATTTTTCATTTCATTTTAGTACACAATTGTTTAAAACCTAACACATTTAGTACCTAAAGTATCAGTTTTGGTTTGTTTTAGTACCTAAAATTTTAAACTTTTTCAAAACTTAACGTTAAATTCTGAACGGAGGTACTCAAATGAAACAAAAGCTAAAGTTTTTAACGACGATGTACTAAAATGAAACAAAAACTAAACTTTAGATATTGTTTCGAAAAAATTGAAAGTTTATTTATTAAAACGGACCATAAATTATAATTCAAATACTAAACGCGTAATTTATCCTAATTTATAATCTGAATCGTTTATTATAAAGATTGATAATATAATTGATCTTTTCAATTCAGTTTGTTCTACTTACGATATCAAGATTCAAACAGTTGGTTTTATTTTAATAAAATTAGAATTGAGACAATATTAACTCCGTTTATCATTAGGATAATAATTTTTTTGGTGTATTTATTATTAATTAAAGATAAAAATAAACTTTTAAATTAATAATTCATTATCCAATTCAATCAACTCTAATTACAAAATAATCTTTAGTTCGGCTCAAACAGATAACCCAAACCTTCTTTCCTTTCCTTTTTAATCAATTTGGTATGATCTTTAATTATTAATTTTTAGCCTTTTACCTAGGGTTGTTCATGGACTGTTCATCGTATCGTTTAGTCTAAACAGTCGGTTAACCATTACAACGATTATAAGATTTTTCTAACCGTAACATAATCATTAAGAAACGGTTAATCATTATTAATAGTTCAGTTACATGTTAGCTTGCTTCACCTATTACAATTATTTGTCAAAATATTTTCATAATTCATACTACAAAAAATGTATAACTTAACACATACTTACACTGATGTAAGTGAATTAAATAAAAAAGTGTAACACTTAACACATACTTACACCGATGTAAATAAATAAAATAAAAAAGTACAACACTTAACACATACTTACACGAATAAAATAAAAAAATATAGCACTTAACACATACCTACACCAGTGTAAGTATGTATATATCATAATATCTTAGTACCTGACAATAAACACATAATTATATTGATGTAATTATGTTTCTATATTTTCAAAGCATTAAAAATAATAAAAATATATATATTAAGTTATTTGTATATAAATTTTATTAAATATATATATAAATTATAAATAATATAGAAGTTATTTGTGTGAAAATATAATAAACTAAAAATATAATTATAAATTTAATTTATTAACAGTTAAAACTTTTATCAAAATTCGTAACCGTAACCTTAACTGTTAACTATATATTTAATATTAATCGAAATTGTTTAGTATTAATGGTTCAATTAATTAACCTATTAAATCGATTCTGAATTTTTTGAGCACCCTACTTTTGCCCAATCAATCATAATTCTATTTTATAATAATTTACTAATAATTATCCATACAAAGGTAAGGAGAACAACCCTTACAAGCAAATTAATTATAAGTTTAGCAAATTAAATAATGGATATACTTTTATGTTTTCCTAAACTAGTTTTCAACCACGTCACTTTCCACGTAATTTTATATGTTTCTATTTTAATTTCACATTAATATATTTTTATAATAAAATACTTTTTATTAATTGAGTGAGGTTTAGGGTAAAACTATACTACAATCTTTTTAACAAAGTTGTTTATCATATGATCGTAATTAGGGGTGTAAACGAGTCGAGCTCGAGTATTGCTGAGTTCGATTCGAAAACTTTGAAATGAAACTCGAATCGACTCGAAAACTCGTGAGCTTAAAATTTTTAAGTTCGACTCGAACTTGAAATCCTGAACTGAAGCTCGTGAGCAGCTCGAAAAGACTCGAAATGAAAAAAAAAAATCTTAAACTTAACTCGATTGAAGCCTCAAACTCAAATCGGAACCTTAAATACATAAAAATCTTACTGTATTTTTTTATTAAAAAATCAATACATAAATGTTAATATTATTAATATTTTTTTAAAAAAAAAATCTTAATATATTATATTTTCGAGCTGCTCACGTACTTTTCGAGTCGAATATCAAGTAGCTCGTTTCGGCTTGTTAAGAACTTAAGTCGAGCTCGAGCTCGAGTAAAGTCCATTCGATCCGAGTATTTATCGAGCCTTGATCGAGTCGATCTCTAGTAGATCGCAATATGTCTCGTCTCATTTACAACCCTAATTCATCGAATAATTATGTTCATCTTTTCAGGAGGATCTCGTTCGTGAATTTCCACACTTGTAGGGTAAAGGGAAGCCTTGTCACCAGTCGATTATTTTTTTAATATTAATTAATATAAAAAATATATACTTTTATAAAATAAATAAATAAAATTATCGAACCCTTCAATTAAAAAAATGATATTTATAGAAAATAAAAAATATTTTAAACCTATTATAATAAGTTTCTAATTATGCCTCTTGTTTACCCTATTTAATATTATTAAAAGAAAATTTAACTCCGGCAATAAAAAGAAAAGGTCTGAAAGACAGTTATAGGAAGAAAGGAGGTGAACAGCTTGCGTTTATATGGAAGTGAAGCCGGCAGTATTTTATATAAATGTTAATAGCGTAAATTATGTATTTAGTACCTCAACTATTACTTTTGATCTATTTTAGTATCTGTCGTTAAAAATTTAAAGTATTTAGTGCCTAAACTATTAGTTTTTATCCGTTTTATTACTTAAACTTCCATTTTTTTTTCAAAACTTAACGTTAAGTTTTTATCGGATACTAAAATGAAATAGAAATTAAACATTAAATATGATTTTAAAAAATTTGAAAGTTTAGGTACTAGCATGGACCAAAACTGATAGTTTAGGTACTAACATGGACCAAAACTGATAGTTTAGCTACCGAACGTGTAGTTTACCAATGTTAATATAATATAATTTAATAAGAATAAGGGTAAATTACTCGTTTAGTACCTAAAATATTACTTTTATTCCATTTTGGCACCCAAACTTTATTTTTAAATCATATATAACATTTAGTTTAGATTTCATATTAGTACCCTATCGTTAGAAACTTAACAGAATTGTTGATGTGATATTTTTTAACTTTTTTAATGACGACGTGATATTAATTTATGGTTTTTTTAACGACAGATACCAAAAATAAAACCTAAATTCATATATTAGGTATGATTTAAAAAAATAAAGTTTTGGCACCAGAATGGAACAAAAGTAATAATATAGGTATTATGTGTAGTTTACCCTAACAATAAATAGATAAAAACAGTGATTTACTGTTCTAGATTAATTATGAGAGGATTGTACCTTTGTGGGGGTGTTTATGAAATTGGACCATCCACCTTCCTTTCTCTCTCTCTCTCTCTCAGCGTGTGGGATCAACCTTCATGCATTTTCATTGGCTTGTGTTTTCTTACTCTTTACTTTTGAACTTGTTTTTATGGAGGTCGTGAGGGTTAAGCCTTGCAGACAGAAATAGATAATAAAAAAAAGCCTCATAAATAAACCAATACCAATCCATCTATTACCTTTCTTTCCTCATCTCGATATCTTCTTTTTTTTTCGAGTAAAGACTGTTCAACTTTGCAGAAAAGAGAGAAATATTGCTTTGGGTTTCATTAAAGTAGCAAGGAGAGAGGTTTTGGTGGATTAATAATTACTCATGTTGCCGAATAACTCTTCTTCCTGCTTAGACAATGGCACTGCTAATATCAATAAGAGGAAAAGAAGACCTGCAGGAACACCGGGTACGTATGTGATTGTGTGTGTATCATCATGAATTCATGTATGGTTTGATTTTTTTTTTATTGATTGTAATTTGAATGTGTTGTAGATCCGGATGCTGAAGTGGTTTCCCTGTCGCCTAAAACGCTGCTGGAATCGGATCGTTACGTTTGCGAGATCTGCAATCAAGGGTTCCAGAGGGACCAGAACCTGCAGATGCACAGGCGGCGGCACAAGGTTCCATGGAAGCTGCTGAAGAGAGAGACGCCGGTGGTGAGGAAGCGGGTGTTCGTTTGCCCCGAGCCGAGCTGCTTGCACCATGATCCCTGCCATGCTCTAGGCGATTTGGTGGGGATCAAGAAGCACTTCAGGAGAAAACACAGCAACCACAAGCAATGGGTGTGCGATAAATGTTCCAAGGGCTACGCTGTTCAATCTGATTACAAGGCTCATCTTAAAACCTGCGGCACCAGAGGCCATTCTTGTGATTGCGGCAGAGTTTTTTCAAGGTTTCTTTTTCTTTATTTTTTGGTTCTCGAAAAAACAATCAACAGTGTTTTGTTTTGGAACTATGCTAAAATTTTCTCGCTTTGTTGGTACATATTCTAAAGCAAAAAGAAGAAGAAGAAAAGGCCATGGTTACACATTGAATTCCTCTCTCAGCCTGGTCCCTTCTCTTTTGACTTCCCTTTGGCCTGATGAAATCATGAAAACCTTAATCCAGTATTCAATGAGCAGCACAGCTCAACACAATTCCCAAAACATCTCTTCTTTTAAGAGAAAATATCTTATTTCATGTGACTATATATATATATACCTTCTGAATGATATATGGATGGATTTCATGTTGTTTTATTTATATACTAATTCTCCTTTCTAACTTTGCAGAGTTGAGAGTTTTATTGAGCATCAAGATGCTTGCCATATGGGGTGTGTACTACGGCCAGAATCACAAGCGGTGCAGTTGGCTAGCTTGTCCCGGACAGCTTCAAGTCCCAGTCCATCAACTAATACACATTTCAGTACAGCTCCATGGCCTAGTTTGGTCTTACCAAAGACAAATGAACCCTGGTTGTTGAGCCCTACGAAAGACAATTCCCACAACAATTTGGAGCTTCAACTATTACCAATTTCAAATCCCAGTGAGGTGCCAAAGGATGACAATCATTCAACAAAGCTACAGCTCTCCATCAGCTCTCAATCAACTGCACTACAAGCAGCAGCACCCCAGCAGTTGAGACTGGCGATGGAGGAGAAAGCTTATGCCGAAGAGTCGAGACGAGAAGCGAAAAGGCAGATCGAGATAGCCGAGCAGGAGTTCTCAAAGGCTAAGAGAATCCGGCAACAAGCACGAACCGAGTTAGAAAAGGCTCAAACTTTAAAGGATCACGCAATAAAGCAAATCAACTCCACCATCCTTCAAATCACATGCCGTGCTTGTAAACAACAATTCCAAGCAAGAACACCTCCCGAGGAGAACTCCCTAGTCGCCAGCTACATTTCATCGGCTTTAACAGAAGGTGAAGTTGAAAACGATATTCAAACATAAAACCCATATCATCTTTCTTATCTCTACTGATATACAAAAAAAAAACACAAGTACTGTTGTTTTTGATCATCTGAAGTTTGGTTGGTTAGTGGAGAGTGTTGTATTCTACAATTTGTGTGATGTAATTTGTTCATTAATTTGATTAAAGTAATGGGAGTTATGTAGTGTTGGGTTTTATTCAGATGCATATAGTCACGGATTTCAGGACAAATTTATAAAATCTTCGGGTGTGAAAATAGATTACGAAATCTATCCTTGCAGATAACTAGGTTTTTTCCTACTGAACCATTACATTGACTGTATTGGTGTGTATGTGGAGAGAATGATTGTAGGTCAGAAAAATGGAGGTGGGCTTGCCCTTGCATTAAAGAATAGTACTGACAAAACGAGTAATATATGACCTAAAAACATTCATACAGAATCAGAACAAAATAAAAGCACGAGAGAGAGAAGGGATCTTTTTATTTTGCATGATGAAATGGTAAATGAAAAAACCGGCATGGTTTTCAGTGCCACAGTCGAAAGGGTTGATGACAGACTCACTCGTCGCTCTCGACGCTTCCAAACACACAGACGCAGACAAAACTCCATTCATTCACTCCCTCATTTCATGATTTCATCGGTAGGAAGAGACCACCCACTGCTTCTCGGCTCAGGGTTTGGAGAAAGAAAGAAAATAAAACCATGTCCCGTCGCTGTTATGTGCTCATCTTTCACCCTCGGAAACTAAAACTAATGGCGAACCGCATGGCTAAATAAAGCTGAACCTTTCTCTTTTCTTTTCCGATTATGTTAGTGGCAGTAGCAGCTTCTCTTTCTTTCTCCTTTTCTGACCGACTCATAATTGTTTCTCTCTGGCTTTTGGTACACAACAAATAACTGGATTGTATACGGTTCATTTTTTTTACTAGTGATGAGAAGACATTTTAGACAGCATGAATCACAGGCAGAGATAGGTTTCATTTTTCGTTTTTAACCAAATTAATTAGTCGAATTGAATTAGTTTATTTAATTCGGTTGAAAAATGATTAATATTAATTTTAATATTCGATTAAGGGTTACTTCAGGTCGAAATCAGATAATTAATGGAATTAACCAAAATTATTAAATATTAAATACATATTTTAAGTTCAAACTCATTAATAATTAACACCCAATTATTTTTTAATCATACTAGACTCATTAAATTATCAATGCCTAATTAAATTTTAACCCAAATAAAAAATATTTCTATTATATTTAAATTAATCTAATTAAAAATTATTTTAAAAAATCGGTTAATTCGGTTAACCGACCGAAATAACAAACTTTATTTGTTTTGGTTAATATTTTCAAAAAAAAGTTCGATTCGATTCGTATAACGGTTAAAAAAGTTCAGTTAATGGAAATTTGACTCGGTCGGTGGCCGAATTAACCGTTTGAACACCCCTAGACAGGGATAGACTTAGGCGGGGGCAGGTGGGGGAGGTCGCTCCTCCTAAAAGTTTAAAATTACCATATATTTTATGATTTTTTATATATATATTCTATTAAAAATATATTTCGTCTCTGTAGAATTTTATAATTTTAAGTTCACCCTCCCTAAAATTTTATAAGTTCAAATTTACGTACTAAACGTGTTAAATTTTAACGACGGGGTACTAAATTGAAACAAAAAAATAAACGTCAAGTATGATTTTGAAAAAATTAAAAGTTCAAATACTAAAACATACCAAAACCGATAAATTAGGTACTAACGTTAAGATTTTAATGACGAATATTAAATTGAAACAAAAATTAAACATTAGGTATGATTTTGAAAAAAAATAAATAAAAGTTTGGGTATTAAAACAGACCAAAACTGATAATTTATGTATAAAAACACATTGTTTACTCTAATATTTATTATACTACGATTATTTCTTATAGAATAAAAAAATTACAAACATATGAAATTTAAACAATATCACAAAATAACTCTATAATTGTAACATTTCATTTAAAAATGTCACCCTCTTAACACTTTTAAATACAAAATCGTAATATTACATTTAAAGAGTGAACCCCCAAATTTTAGGACTCTATAACGTGTCATATGTATACCAATATTTTTTAAATTCGTACTTTTTTTTAGTATAACCACTGATTTCCAATTTATTTAGATTAAATATTACAAAGGTAAGGGCGACCCTCTTAACTCAATTACTCCATTTACAATCGTCAAGATTCGAACCCTGACCTTACTTAAGAGATCTAGTATCTCATCCCACTAGATCTTATTGGTTAAAATTCGCACTTTAAACCTAAAATGTTAAGTACATGTTGGCTGGCTGGCTGGCTGCTCCACCCGTTTTCATTCCGATGACTGTTTAGGTCAGCTGTCTATATCGGAATTTAAAGTAAATTTAATTTATGTTCCCCATCCTCAGCCCACCAGACCATCATTCCTCTACTTATTGATCCACTTGGCCCAACAGAGAGGAGGTTTCCCGATATGCCCTATAGGGGTGTTAAAAAAATACTTGATTCAGTTGATTCGATCGATCGATTCGGTTAAAAATATTGAGTATTTTTAGTAAAAATAACTGATTTTTCAGGTCTGGTACCCAACCTGCTATCTTTTAGGGATTCTAGGTCGGGCCCGGGTGGCAAAATGTTGTTTAACCGGGTATCCGTCTATCCGATACTCAATTTATTATATATTTTTAATTTTAGATTAAATATTTATTCATAATTCTCGAATTATTTCACTATAACATTCTAAATTTAATTTCTTTAATTTTGTCACCATAACATTCTAAATTCTTTCGTAAATTCTTTCACATTAATATTCTAAATTATTTTTAAAAATATTTATTTTAACTTCAAAACATTTGAAATTTAATTAGATTTCTTTATTTTAATTTTTAATAAATTTTCTTTCAATTGAATTTTTAAAACTTTATGTGTGAATTATGTATATCATAAACCTTTAAATTTTAAATTTAAGAAACTTTCTATATACTTTATTTTAAAAAATAATATAATTTAAAGAATAAAAAATTATAAATTGGGTACATGTGACCCGGAAATAGGGGTATCTGAATTTTATGGGTACTTGTATGGGTGAGACACAGGTCGACTTTTTGGTACCCGAAAATACGGGTACCCGATTTTGATCACCCATAATGCCCTTGCCATTCAATAAATTTTAGGGTAAACTATATGTGTAGTACTAAAACTATTACTTTTGTTTTGTTTTAGTGCGCAAACTTTTCATAATCATATCTAACATTTTATTTAGGTTTCATTTTGGTATTTCACCGTTAAAAGCTTAACATAATTACTTACATGGCATTTTTTTTCAATGGTGATGTAGTATTATCTTATGATGATACGCCAACATCACTGTTAAATTTTTAACGACGAAATACCAAAATAAAACTTAAACTAAACTTTAGGTACGATTTTGAAAAAAATAAAGTTTGAGTTCCAAAACGGAACAAAAGTAATGGTTTAGATACTAAATGTGTAGTTTATCCTAAATCTTAAGATGAATTCTCTAGATAGTCACCCAACTTTTGTAAATTTTCATTTTAGTCACAAATATAAAAATTAAACTTGTATATTAATTACCACAGTTGGAGATCTTGTTCATTCTAATGGCCTCCCATTAAATGGCTAACGCCTTAATGATTGTACACTCCATATAGGTTAAATATTATCCACGTAATTTAGTATAAGCCATGTGATTTAGTTTATTTGGTGTAAAAAATATATTGATATAAGAATAGGATAGGTAAAAAGGTCTTTTTGACAGGTCAATAAAGTTTTTTGTTTGTTTATTTTTTTACAGTCCTAAATCTAATCATAATCCTACTTAGGGGTAGGGGTATGATAATTCGGATATCGGATTCAATTCGAAAATTCGGATATCCGAAAATTTCAGATACCTAAAATAGTGATCTGTATCTGATCCAAAAATATTAAATATCTGAATTTTCAAATCGGATATCCGAATATCTGAATTTGAATTTAAAATTTAATTTGACAGAAAATATTTTAAATTTTGTCATTTAATGCAACTTATTCGATACTTCTAATATATTTATAAATATATTTAATTACTCACACATAATAAATAATTAAATAGCTTAATTTTTATTGTGTTAGAGTTTTAATGAGTTAGTGTATTACTCTACTCATTTATTGGGTTAAAGGGAATCTAAAATCTAAAAGCCCAATTTTTTTGGATTTTCGGATAATCTGAAATTGAAATTTATCCGATCAGTATCCAATTTGATTATATTTGTTTTTAAATATTCGATCTAAATTATTTGATAATTTCATAGGATAGGTAGGTATAACCATGGTTTTTAGAATCGGACCGGTTAGCGAACCAGTCATGCTACCGGTTCACTGGTTCAACCGGTCGAACCGGTCCGACCGGTCGGAAGAACCGGAAGACGTCATAATTATTTAAAAAATTAAATAAAAATACCAAAATTATTTAATAAAAAATAATTTTTTATATCACAAGTCATATTCAAAGCAAGTCATAACATATATAAGTTAAAAATCATAAAATCAAGTGAAACAAAATGATTCAAATTAACTACAACATAATATTTAAGGTAAAACATATTAAATAATAAATATAATTATATAACTATAATTAAAAAATAAATTTGGGGTTAAAAAAATCATAACAAAATTATATAACTATAATTATATAATTATTCTTTCACTTCAATTAAGCTCGAATTTTAGGCTTCAATCGAGCTTCTAATTTTTTTTTGAGTTCAAGCCTTTTTGAGTTTAAGTTTCAATATTATATTTCGAGTTTGAGTTGAATTTGATAATTTTTAGAGTTTGAGTTGAGTTGAGCTTACTTTTAAAGTTTTCAAGTTCGAGTCGAGCTCAGCAATACTCGAGTTCGACTTGGCTCGTTTAACAAACGACGTTGTTTGGTTTAATTTTTTTTTTTTTTTAAAAAAACAAAAATCCCGGTTTTTCCCGGTTTTCAGCCGGTCTGGTTCGAACGGTTCAGCGGTTCTGATCGGTTCACTAATAGTGGTTCAACCGGTTTAGATTGAACCGGACTAAGCAACGGTTTCCGATTGAACCGGTTGAACCGGCCAGTCCGGTCCGATTTTCAAAACAGAGGGTATAACTCATTGAACTTTTCTTGTGAAAGAATATTTACTTGATCATTCTTTTGTTTGTGTAAATGATGATATATCTTTCATAAATATTTATCTTACAAGGTTTTGATTCTCATAGGTATGTTCACGTGGTTATAAACATCTATTGGTTCTCGTAAATTTCATGCTTCTCACTATGCATCTTATTTTTAGTTTTATTAATTCGAGCCATAAATAAAAATGAAAGAAATCACATATTGTTGGCAATGAAGATATATGAATTGTGGCAGAGAAATCATCTGAAGAAGAAACCTTTGTTCCCGGCAGCTTTGTTACCGGCGGGAGCGGAAAATATAGAGAGAATAGCCATGCATAAGAAGGCGGCCGCCAGAAGCGCCGTCGCCAGATACCCTCTGTTAAAGAAACCTTCGAACGGAGTATCCTTTAAACGTGCCCCGAATGACTCCAACAAATCATTTATAAATCTTTTCAGTTCCGCCGTCGTCAAGAAACCGGCCCCGACACTCGATGCCAAAACAAAGGCAACCACCTGCAATTTCATATTCATATCGCAATGAAAAGCAATTTTGTTTTGATATAATTAGATTTTGCATGGTTGATGGAAGAAATAAATTGGGGGTAGTTTTTACGAATTTATCCCTTTTGATTTGATGACAGAATCGTAGTCTGTAACTGATAGCTCGAAGAAGATGATAAAGAATATTCCTCTCCAATTTTATATGGTGATTTGTATATAAAGTCTTACATGTTGGTGTCAAGTTTAAGGTGACGATGATTATTTATGAGTTGACAAAGTAAATAAATCCGGTTAGATATAATACTAAAATTAGCTTCTAACATTTACACGAATAATCATTTAGACTCTAATTCTTTTTGGAAAATTTTATATGCGATTAATTATTGTCATGACATATATCATGTCATCATATTCGATGACATGTCACAATATCATCTTTAATGATGTGACATATACCACATTATCACCTTAGGTGATGGGGCAAGTGGATTTAACATGTTAATGTATATGCAAATGAGATATATATATATATATATACCTTGTCTCCATGAAAATATAAGGTTGGCAAGAAAGGACCACGAATGAGCCTCTTCCCGGTACAAGCACGATACAACAACAGCCGTGACCACCACATACCTGCACAACCATCACCAAATTAACGAGGCTTATATAACAAATAAGTATATAAAATATATCATTTTTTTCATCTAAACACTTAAAGTATTTTTCGATCAAAATAAATACATAAGTTATTTTTTTTTGTTAAAATAAGTGACTAAAGTATTCAATTTTTTCATCTAGATATCCAATTGCAAGCTAAGGCCATGTGCTGCTTACTTGTAGGTAATGACGTCTTTGAAAGTAACTTTGGAGCCATCATCGTCAGTGGCCTTGTCTAGTATCAGAACCACTATACATCCGGCTGCGAAAAAAAGAGTGCAGATTCTGAGCACAAGGCTAACAATTACCGCAGCCTTCTTGGACGCCATATATCAACCACTTGAGACTGCTTTTCTCTTCCTCAGTGTGTATCTGAAATCTACAGAGAGCACACGCAAGTGATGATGGGTTTTTATAGAAGATCCTGTCTCGGCTCTATCTGTGTTTTTGGTTACCTTATGGTACAGGCGTAATAATAAAATTATCCTTGATGTTTCTACGAATGGTTATTTTATTCTCATATTTTTTTGGTATTTTTACCATTATCGTTATATTTTGAAGCATAATACCCCTTGAATGGATGAAAATCGTTTGTTGACTAACTGTCAATATTTTTACTGATGTGACAGGTCCACACGTAATATCACATCAACAAGAGATATTTTTAAAATAAACTATAATTATAATTAATTATACATAAACTTATAAAAATACATTTGAAAGTAATTTAAAAATATTTTTTATGACGTAACATCACATATAAACCTGTAACGTCAATGAAAACGTTGATCGCTAATCAACTAATGATTTTCATTCGGACTAAAATGCTTGAAATAAACATTGAGGAGTCATTTTGTTATTACGCCTGCAATAAGTATATCTGCAGGCCTCTATCAACTCTTTGACTGCGTCTTTGGATGATTCCAAGGAATTATCATTGTTTGCTTGAACTATGCAATGATTTTTGGAGTATGTACTGGGAACATAAGAAGTCTGAAACTCAATTTTGATATGGATTAATCCCATATCAATTAAATTAAAGGATAAACTACACGTTTAGTATTTCAATTGTTACTTTTGTTTCATTTTAGTTATCTAATTATTTTGTATATAATCATATTTAACATTATATTGTGATTTCATTTTGGCCACTCACAGTTAGAAAATTAACAGAATTATTCATGTGATATTTTTTTTAATGACGACATTATATTATCTTATGTTGACACATCAATACCACCGATATTTAACAACAGGTGACCAAAATAAAACCAAAACTAAACATTAGATATATTTAAAAAAAAATAGTTGAGTGACCAAAACGAAACAAAAGTGATAGTTAAGATACTAACTGTATAATTTACTCAAAATTAAATTATACATTAATTAATTAAATTAAATTAAATTCAGACATTATATATTTATATTTTTTACTAATTAAAATATAAAAAAAAACTATTAATATTTTTTAACTACGAGTGAGTTTATTTTTATGTATATCCTTAATTTAATTTTTTTAATTATTCATCCATGTAGTTAAATTCTCTAATTTTTTCAGTACATGCTTCTAGATCTATTAGGAGTACTCTCCGTCCTTCTATTAGAGTCTTCTTTCTTTTTTTCTATAAATAAGATTATGATTAGATTTAAAATTTGTCAAAAGAAAGTTATAAGGTATAATTATTGTATAAATTTAATTATTTTTAAAATTCCCTTTTATAAATTTAAGTATGCCTATATATTAAAAGAATTGATTTTACTTAAAATAAATAAAATTTATAATAATATCAATTTAATCAATTTTATTTTAGATAATTTTATAACTCTCAACCAGACGTCGCAATTTTACATTCTAATTAAAACTTAAATTTTTTTCTTGAATGTTTGGAGTGATTACAAGGGTAGTATATGTTTAAGGTCTTTCTTAATCATTGATAACACACATACTCTGCACAACTGCTAGAATTCAAGACCTCAAGAAAAATAATACTATATTTAATTATTAAAGTCGCTTAATGAATTCTTCAATCAAATTAATCAAATAAAATATTATTTTCCATCATCTTGTCTTTTATAATCTTATTCTCGATTATAATAATTATATTTTACAAAACAAACGCATAATATTCAATAATAAACGCATAATTGGGTTGAAAAGATCATCCTTACTTCTGCAGTATCCGGTCCAAATTAATTGATCAATACATCAAATAGTGATTGTTATGCCAAAAACAATTATTCCAATCTCTGAGTCTGACCAATTCCAACCGCATGGGAATAAAAGTGCAAATCAATTACCTTAGAGAACCTATAATATAAAGGCATAATACTAAAAATAGCTCCTAACGTTTATCAAAATAGTCATTTTTCTCCTTATTCTATTTTTCGAAGTATTTTGGTATCTAACATTTCACTTTAAGACAAAAAAACTCCCTTTATAGATGAAAACCACACACGATTAATACTTCAAAATAGGAGCTTTTTTAACCTAAAATGAAACATTGAGTTCTAAAATACCTCCAAAGAAAATAATATTTTGACCTAAATGAAACATTGGGACCAAAATGTTCCGAAAGATAGAATACGAGACAAAATGGCTATTTTTATAATATTGAGAGCTAATTTTAGCATTATGCCTAATATTAAAGCAGAGTTGATAATTTAAATTGTGAATTTAATACCCTACCGTTAAAATCCTAAAATCTAAACCCTAAACCCTAAATCCTAAATATTAAGCATGCCATTTAATGCAAAAGAACAAAATTCAGAGCAACATTTGTGGTGGAGTCATGATGAAAATACATGCAATCACATCTACAAACATTTGAACACCCCAAAACTCAGTTTTACCCAATTCTTCTGATTCAAGATCTTGATTAGTAGCTTTGACATTTTTTTGTTTGTTCAGAAACATTTGAAATTTGTCAGCACTATCTATCCCAACAGTCTCTACTTTATCATCTGCTTGTCCCTCAAGACCTTTAGCCTTGGCATCAAATTTTAGAACACTATTTTCTTCCAAAACAAAATCAGGACAACTACCCTGAAATTGAAATGACAATTCAGATTAAAAGGTTTTATATGGTTCCACAATTGCACTGGAAAAATAATATTTATAGAAAATAAAACTAGAAGAGATTCTTAGAATGCAAAATTAAATTGAGAAGTTGGACAGCAAGTTACAAAGTTGTCCTGTAAAGAGATAGAAGAGCTTAAGGCATAACAAAAGTATGGCCGATGAAATGCATTCTAAAGTATCAGCCTATTATAGGTTTATTTGATATGGTTGAAAACATAGTTTCTATGCATTATTTCAAAGAAACAAGTTCATATGTTGTTTGCATTTGATGGCTAGAGAAAAACAAAAAGAATGAGAAAGTATGTACAGACAAACTTCTGTATTCAAGTATTAAAATTGCGAGGAAACGACTCCATATTAGTCACAACTGCAACTTCAGTAAATTTCGTGGAGTTTCTTGAGAAAAATGCCAGCACCACTTTCAGTGCCGAAGTACCCTTCCAACTAAGAGCAAATTTTATCTAATAGAAATAAATATCTGCATTTATCATTGAAGCAAAAGAACATTGAAATTATCACTTACTCTGTCAGCCTCCAGTTGCTTGTCATTTGTGTCAAGAATCTTTACATCATTCACAGCTTTTGCACAAGTGGCATCTTGGACTCTGACTCCAGTTGAGACCACTTCAACTACAGAAAATGATTTATCCTCTTTATTGACAACTTTTGCTGATGAATTTTCATAACTGCTGTTTGAGGAACATACGTTAGGTTTATATTCCAACTCTTGAAGAGCCTTCTTAACAACATAAAAAGAGCCACCCACTTCTTTTAGAGCTTCAGTTACAGATGGAAATTTCCCCGCATTAATTGGTCTATACCTGGAAAAAATAATGGAAAGTCTTAATTGTGCCCTTACTAAGGAACTATGGATTAGAATTTGGGACAAGTAAACTTGACATGACAATCTTAGTTTCCAATAGTTGACAAACGGCCATCCCCGGCACAATCCAAATACACAATTTGAATTAGGGTTAAATGGAAAGATGCACCAAAGATATCTGATGCTTGTTGTATTTGAATGAATGATATGTTTAAACTGCTTCAATTTGGGCCAAATGGTCTTTAATTGCAATACCAAAAGGGAAGAGAGAAACAGGATCTATAAGTCAATCTTGCAGTTCAACGTGATTTTATCAAATAATGTTGGAATTCCTAAAATTAAGGATAGATTGCTTACCTTATTCCTAGGAGTTTCCTTGTATAGTAGGGATCTAATCTTAGTCTTTAATTCTTAGGAAGTTACTGATTTTTAAGGATTGTTCCCTTATTTACACTTAGACTACTCTATAAAAGTTGTAAACTATTTAGGAAATGATAACAACCTTCTTTTTAAGTTTATTCATGACACCAGAGCTTCAAGGATTTTTTGATCCTGTCATCTCTAATCTCTCGTCCCAAACATCCGTCCTCTTTAATCTCTCTTGCCTCTTGTTTTATTCCTTCTCATGGGTGGCATAGTCGAAACTTTATCCGAGACTGAAACCTCACAAATGATTCAAAATATCAATCAATGAACCCTTCAAGGGGACCTTAATTCCTCTCTTATGATCACTAATCATCGACTAGATGGGAAAATTTCTTGCAGTGGTCCCAATCGGCCAGTATGGTGATTCGTGGTTGTGGCAAACTAAGATATATCAATGGAGACATCCCACGACCAGCCACAACAGACCCAACTTATGGCACTTGGGAACTCAACAACTCAATTGTAATTGCTTGGTTAGTTAATTCAATGGAAGGCCATATTAGTCGCACATATCTCTTCTTCAAAACTGCAAAAGATATGTGGGATGCAATCAAAGAAAACTACTCGGATCTTGGAAATGCCTCCCAAGTATTTGAGATCAAACTGAAGTTGAAGGACATCCGACAAGGAAAACTTGAAGTAACTCACTACTACAATAATCTGAAAATTTTGTGGCAAGAACTGGACATGTACTATGAGGCAGACTGGGGAGAAGGCGTGGAACACACCAAGTTTATGACTCACCTCAATAATGAACGTCTCTATGAGTTTCTGTCAAGACTAAACCGAGAGCTAGATGAGGCCAGTGGTCGAATTCTGGGTAGAACCCCCCGCCAACCATTGGTGAAGCATTTGCAGAAGTTAGAAGAGAAGAGAAGAGAAGCGTCGACTTGTCATGATGGATGATTCAAAAGAACCTAAACCTGTGACAACTGCTAGTTACCGTCCCACTGAAAACTCATCCCTTATCTCCAAAGGCCCACAACCACAAAGATCATATGCTGGAAATAATTTAAGCTCAACCAGGTCGTGGTGTACCACTGCAATCGTGTAGGACATACCAAGGAAAAAAATGCTTCAAACTCCATGGCTATCCTGGAAAAAACCAGAAGGAAAATAAGACTGCAATGATGTCCACTAATAACTACACTACTGCAGATGATGCTCTCGACGTTCGCCTAACCAAAACCCAACTTGAAACACTCCATAAGTTGTTTGGTACTTCTACGGCTAGTGGTTCTCTAGTCACCCAAGGTACTGCCCTTAACATTGTCCTTGAACTTAACAAATCATCATGGATACTTGATTCGGGTGTTTTCGATCACATGACAGGTAACCCCACTTTGTTTCACACTTATACACCTTGTCATGACCAATCCCGAATCCGTATAGTTGATGAATCCTACTCACTGGTGGCTGGAATTGGAATAGTAAAATTAGCAAAAAATTTCTCCCTTGATAAAGTCCTACATGTCCCAAAATTATCCTATAATTTACTTTTAATCAGTAAACTTACCAAGGATTAAATTGTTCTTGCTGAATTTTCTGCAATTAGTTGTGTGGTACAGGAACAAAAGTCGGAGAGGATGATTGGCACTGCTAAAGATGATGATGAACTCTATGTTTGGAATAAAGACAATACAAAAGAAAGATTGGCTCTATCAACTTCAAAAGATGACACAATTATGTTATGGCACCGTAGACTAGAACATTCAAACTTCTTGTATTTGAAGAAACATATTCCTTCGTTATTTTGCAATAAAAGTGTGAGCTCCTTGAAATGTGAAATTTGACAATTATCCAAACACACCCCGTGTACCATACCCGTTAAAGCCTTATGTCTAGTCAACATTTCTTATTAATACACAGTGATCAATGGGGAGCTAGCCGTGTAAAGAATGTTACGGGGGCTAGATGGTTTATAACTTTTATTGATGACCACACTAGGGTTTGTTGGGTATACCTCCTCAAAGAAAAATCCGAAACACCCAAAATCTTCCAAAACTTTCACTTAATGGTTTGAACCCAATTTAATTATACCATACATACACTCCAAACTGACAATGGTAGAGAATATTTCAACTCTGTTCTGAGCCCTTACATTTCTGACAAGGCATCATACATCAAAGTTCTTGCCCCGACACACCTCAATAAAACGGGATATCCGAAAGAAAAAACCAACATCTCCTTGATGTGGATCGAGCCCTAACATTCACCATGGGTGTCCCAAAATATTTATGAGGAGAGGTTGTCCTCACTGCTTGCTACCTCATAAACCGTCTACTGTCAAAGGTATTAAATTTTCAAACACCTCTACATACACTTCAAAAGGCTTTTCCCTTAATTTTTGTTCCCAACCTACCAATAAAAATATTCGGTTGCAAAACGTTTTTCCACAATCATCAATCCAAACTTGATCCTCGAGCCCACATATGTGTCTTCATTGGCTATTCACCCCCCCCCACAAAAGGGTTATAAGTGTTACTCACAACCTTACACCAAATATTTGTCTCTCGGGATGACATTTTTTTTGAGAATGGACCATACTTTGCAGCATCTCATCTTTAGAGTGAGACTCTTAATGAAGATGAGTCCCTCAATAACCTTGTCATTACCTCATGATCCTACCTCTATTATCACAAACAAACCTAACAACCCAATAGCTATTGTAATTCCATATTTAGGGATTGTTTCTCCTATGCATCAGTAAGAAATTAGCATAATCAATCACACCAGCGAAGAACAACAACAACAACATAATCTAGGAAGGCAGCAAGAACAGGCTCCAAAACTTTGGGTATACTCTCGAAGACTTCATCCTCCTGAAACTGAAACAATAGTGCCAATTTCATCCCCAACCGAGGACTGTTCTGAAACAGAAGTCTCACCTCCATCACCATTCATCTATCTTCCAATTGTTATTTGAAAGGGAGCAAGGAGCTGTATTCAAAACCATATTTCTCGATTTGTGTCATATGGAAACTTATCTAAGTCTTATAAAGCCTTTGTGTCTAATGTTGATATTGTAGAAGTTCCAAAAAACATAGAAGAAGCTCTTAAATCAAATGAGTGGAGGCAAGTTGTGATGGAAGAAATAAAGGCTTTCAAAGGCAATGAAACGTGGGAAGTCTTAGATTTACCAAGTGGTAAGAAGACTGTAGGATACAAGTGGGTCTTCATTACAAAATTTAAACCCGATGGCAATATCGACCGATACAAGGCTCGGCCTGTGGCTAAGGGTTTTACTCAAACCTATGGCCTTAACTTCGACGAGACGTTTACATTAGTTGCCAAGCTAAACACCATTCGCGTTTTGCTATTAACTTGGATTGGCCCTTGACCCAATTGGACATAAAAAATCTTTCCTCAATGGGGAATTAAAAGAGGAATTGTACATGGACTTCCCACCCGGGTTTGAAGAGAGTAAGGACCAAATGTGTAAGCTAAGTAAGTCCTTATATGGACTAAATCAATCTCCAAGGACGTGGTTCAACCGATTGGCCAAAGCTATGACTAGTAGAAGCTATATTCAAGGACATGCTGACCACACCATGTTTTACAAACACTTGAAAAATGGAAAATGTTGCATTCTCATTGTCTATGTGGACGATATAATATTAACAGGGGATGATTCAAGCAAAATTAAAAGTCTAAAAGAGTTTCTTAATGCTGAATTCGAACTTAAGGACTTGGAGAATCTTAGATACTTTCTTGGAATAAAGGTAGCAAGGTCTAAGGTAGGTATTTCCATCTACCAAAGAAAGTATGTTCTCGATCTGCTTTCAGAAGTTGGTTTGTTGGACTGCAAACCATCCGAAACTCCTATGGAATTCAATCTTAAATTATGGAATGATCAGGATGGATAAGATATCGACAGAGTGATATATCAACGACTAGTTGGGAGACTTATCTACCTATCTCACACTCGTCCAGAAATAACTTTTGGTGTGAGTGTTATCAGCCAGTTCATGCACGCTCCAAGGGAGAAACATCTGGAAGCTGCGTACATGATATTAAGGTATCTCAAGGGGACTTCGAGCAAAGGCCTACACTTCAAGAAAATTGCCAACCGAAGTGTAGAAGTATACACTAATGCAGACTGGGTAGGTGTTGTTAACGACAAACGTTCTATATGTGATTACTATAGCTACGTTTGGGGTAATCTTGTAACATGGAGAAGTAAAAAACAGTCTGTTGTAGCACGCAACAGTACAGAGGCAGAGAATCGAGCACTATATAACCTGATTTATCAATGCATTCAAGATTATTTAAACTATAATAATTAATTTATTTTTAATTAAATTTTAATATTAACTTTATTAAATTTAAAATATGATATAACATTAATCATATTAAAATTTATGATAGTGTCTACCCATTATTAGATTTAACATATAATAAAGTGATAAATATATATATTCCTTCAATAAACACATATAGAAACTAATAATAACAATAATTTTAATAGCAGAGATTTAAATTGCAGTTGTGTTTTTGTTATGTCGCATTTAATGTGATTACAGACATAATAGGTGCTATTACTATGATTTTGGGTATTACAGTCATACAATAACAGTCGCGGACGACACTGTTACCGTTATATAGAGGATGTTATTGTGATCGCGGATGACACGACTATCGTTATATCATGAATGTTATTGCGGTCGTAGACCGCTATTTAAATCCTTGATCAATCGCAAGCCTTTCTTTTTTTCTCGACAATGACACTAGCTTTGACACTAGTCACATACGATTGGTATTTATTTTTATTGCAATTTTTTTATAATTTGTTTTGATTTGTTATTTTTATTCAGATTTTATGTTTATTTTTATTCAGATTTGTTAATTTTTAATTAAAAAAAAAAACTCTTTTTTTAACTTCTAACTTTTTGTATATTTTGCGCACACTCATGTTTTTTGACACATTTTAACTTTACTCTTGTGACACATTTTACTCTATACATATGGCAAATTTCATCTGCTTGTGTTCGTCTACCTCTGTAGTAAATATGATCGTGTAAAGATTCTAATATCGTTCATATTTAATTTGTAATTGTTAATGATCTTCTATAATCAAATCCATTTTTATAACTGTTTATCGATATATTCATATCTATTTTACAAAACAACCCGGAAAATTGATTTCGCTCGCTCGCCACTTCTTCGTAAGGGAGAGAACATAGCTAGTGTATCTTTATTTTTTTTAATGTTTAAACTTTTTAATGGATACAGTCTCTCTAAAATTTCCTTTGCGATCAATTATATTATTAAGATTATATTTTTTATTTCAATAAAATTCATTAAAATAGAAGC